TCGGCCATGTTGAATCGAGGCTGTGATGAGATCAGGAGCTGAATGGTCCTAGCAGAACCCACACTGAGTATCAGTGAGCAGGTCATTCTTTTGCAAGTGTTGCCTTTTTTGTCACTTTTGAAGTCCCCTCCCATCACTTTGTTGAAGTAGACTGATGTGGTGATCTGGATTTGTCTTGCATTCTGTGGGCGTGACGTACCTAGTTAATTCTTGACATTATTGGACAGCTGCCAGTTTTGCACCTGTCCTAGAATGGCTTGGTTAGGCGTTCAGCTGATTCTGGACCACAAGTCTTTAATACTATTGCTGGAATGTTGTCAGGACCCATAGTTTTTGCAATATCCTGTACCTTCAGCCATTTATTGGTATCAAGTGATATCAAATTAGTTAATTAGTGAATCAAATTAGTTGAAGGTTGGCATTTATGATGTTGGGGGGGACCTCTGGAAGAGGCTAAGATGGATCATCCATTTGGCTGAAGATTGTTGCAAAAGCTTCAGCCTTTTTTTTTGTGTTTCCACTGGTATCCTAGGTTCTCCAATCACTGGGGATAGGGGATGCCTGTAATGTCTCCACCTCCTGTTGTTTGTTTGTTTGTTTGTTTTAATTGTCCACCACCATTTATGACTGGATGTGCCAAGACTGCAGAGCTTGGATCTGATTCATTGTAGAATGCCTTTTTACATGCTATATTAGAGTCTAAGAGAGAGCTAGCTAAACATAGAAACAAAGATGTGACGAGTTTCCACAGCTTAAAAAAAAAGTTAACATGGTAATCAAGGTTCCTTCAGAGATGAGTCTGGGAATTAATAATGGAAAATAAGGAGATGGCAAATGAATTGAACTGACAATATGCATTGGTCTCCAATATTAAGAATGTAAGTAACATCTCAAAAGTATTGTCAGTCAAAAATTTGAAGAAAGAGGCATTTGTGCAAATGCAATCGCCAGGAAAGTCATAACCAGCAACTCTTTGGAACTGCAAGTCAATTAGTTCCCAGATTCTGGTGGTTGACATCCTACAATCTTAAGAGGTGGATTGTGAGACCATGATACTATAAGACCATAATATGTAAGAGCAGAATTAGCCATTTAGCCCATTGACTCTGCTCTTGCATTTCAGTCAAGGCTGATCTGTTTCTCAACCTCATTCTCCTGCCTTCTTCCCATAACCCTTGATCCCTTACCAGTCTAGAACCTATAGATCTCTGTCTTAAGCACACTCAATGACTTGGCCTCCATAGCCTTCTGTGGCAAGGAGTTCCACAGATTAATCACTCTCTGGCTGAAGAAATTCCTCCTCATCTCTGTTTTAAAGGGGAGTCCCTTCACTTTGTGGCTGTGGCTGTGGCTGTGGCTGTGCTCTATGGTCCTAGTCCCTCCTACTAGTGGAAACATCTTCTCTACATCCACTGCGTCCAAGCCTCTCAGTATGCTGCAAGTTTCAATCAGAAAGTCCCCTCTTCCTTCTAAACTCCATCCAGTACAGACCCAGAGTCCTCAAGCCCTTCATTCTAAGATCATTCTTGTAAACCTCCTCTGGACCTTCTCTAATACCAGCACATCCTTTCTCAGGTAGGGGCCCAAAACTGCTCTCAATATGTAGTTTGACTGAAGTCTTATACAGTCTCGGTAGTATATTTCTGCTCTTGTATTCTAGCCCTCTTGAAATGAATGCTAATATTGCATTTGCCTTTTTAACTGCCAACTGCACTGCATATTAACCTCCAAAAGAATCCTGAACTAGGACTCCCAAGTCCCTTGGTGCTTCAGATATCCAAAGCCTTTCCCCATTTAGAAAATAATCTATGCTTCTATTTTCCGACCAAAGTCTGTTACCTCACACTTTCTCACGTTGTATTCTGTTTGCCACTTCTTTGCCCACTCTCCTAACCTGTCTAAATCCTTCCGCAGCCTTCCTGCTTCCTCAACGTTACCTGTCCCTCCACCTATCTTTGTGCCATTTGCAAACGTAGGAACAATGCTTTCAGTTCCTTCTTCAAATCATAAATGTATAACGTGAATAGTTGTGGTCTCACCACGGATTCCTGCGGAACTCTACTAGTCACCGGCTGCCATCCTGAGAAAGATCCCTTTATCCCCACTCTCTGCCTTCTGCCAGTCAGCCAATCCTCTATCTATGCCAGTACTTTGCCCACGACACCAGGGGCTGGAATCTTATTTAGCAGCCTCCTGTGCAGCCACCTTGTCCAAAGGCCTCCTGGAAATCCAAATACATCATGTGCACTGGCTGTCCTTTGTCTAAAGTGCTCATTACCTCCTCAAAGAATTCCAACAGATTTGTCAGGCATGGCCTCCCCTTGATAAAGCTGTGCTGACTCAGCCTCATTTTACCATGCACTTCCAAGTACTCTGTAATCTCACCCTAAAGAAAAGGACTCTCAAATCTTACCAACAATAAAGTTCAAGCTAACTGTCCTATTGTTTCCTGTCTTCTGCCTCCCTCCCTTGTTCACTGGGGATGTTACATTAGCCATTTTCCAATGTTAGGGGACCCTCTCTCACTCCAGTAATTTCTGAAAGATCACCACCATAATCTCCTCAGCTTTCTCCTTCAGAACTCTGGCATGTAGGTCATCTGGTCCGGGTGATCTATCTGCCTTCAGACCTTTCAGCTTCCCCTGTACCTTCTCATTAGTGAAGAAAAAGTTCAGAGTTAAGGTTTCAGTTCTGTTCCCAGTTCTGAGGAAGGGTCACCAGACCTGAAACATTAACTCTGATCATTTTCCTCACAGATGCTGCCAGACCTGCTGAGCTTTTTCAGCAACTTCTGTTTTTGTTCCTGATTTACAGCATCTGCAGTTCTTTTGGTTTTTACCTTCTTGTTAGTGATGGCCACTGCAAACAACTGTGACTCTCTTGGAAGTTCTTGTACACTGCTGGCATCTTGCATTATGAAAACTGACTCAAAGTACCTATTCACTTCCTCCACCACATCCTTGTTCCCCATTACTGCTTCTTCAGCCTCATTTTCCAGTGGTTCTATGTCCACTATTCGCTCTTTCATACGTTTTTTTATTGATTAAGCTTTTTTTAAAATTTAAAAACTCCTGCAATTTCATTCATATTATTAGCTAGCTTACTCTCCTATTTCTTCTCCCGCGTATTGTTTTTTTTTCAGTTAATCTCTGCTGGCTTTTAAATGTTTCCTAATCGCCACATTGTACGCTTTTTCTTTTTGTTTTATGCTGTCCCTGACTCTCTCTTGTTAGCTATGGTTGTCGCATCCTCCCCTTAGTATGTTTCTTTTTCCTTTCGATGAATTTCTGCTGTGCCTTCCGAATTACCCTGAGAAACTCCTGTCATTGCTGCTAGGCTCCTCTTCAATCAGCTGTGGCCAGCTCTTCCCTCATGTCTTTGCAGTTACCTTTACTCAGTTGTAACACTGTTTCATTTGATTCAATTGTCTCCCTCCCAAAATGCAGGGTGAATTCTACCATATTATGGCCACTGCCCCAGGGTTCCAACACCTTAAGCTCCCCACTCAAGTGTCTCATTACACAGAATCATCCATAACCAGAATTGCCTGTTCCTTAGTTCCCTACATCCTGACTCTTGCTTGGAGGCCTGTATATAACTTCAAACAGGGTCTTTTCTCCTTTCCTCCTCTTCAACTCTACCCACACAGATTCTATGCCTTCTGACTATATCATTTCCTATTGATTTTAATTTATTTTGTTATTAACAAGGCAACCCGCCCCCTCAGCCCATCCTCCTGACCAGTCAATAGGACGGGTATCCTTGGATATTCAGTTTGCAGCGTCGTCTCTGTGGTACTCACAACATCATACCTGCCAGTTTCAATGCACTGCAAGCTCATTTACCTTTTTTTTTCACTGTGTGCATTTAAGAACAACACCCTCAGTCTTGCGGTGACTCCCTCCTTCTCATTGTCTCCTCATCTGCTGTGCCTGAAGTCAAAAATCAGGTGAAGAAGGACTGAGGCTCTGAAAGCTTGTGTTTTCCAATAAACCTGTTGGACTATAACCTGGTGTCATGTGATTTCCGACTTTGTCTACCCCAGTCCAACACCGGCACCTCCACATCATGGCTGTGCCTGAAGTTAGGTTCCTGACTCTTTCCATACTCTCTGTCCTATTATTTGTTCTGCAAGCTTTAATAACCTTTGCTGAACCCTCCTCCCTTTTAAATTTCCATAATTTTCCATGCGACTGAACCCCCTTGTGAAAGGGGAATCAGTTTATTGGAGTCCTTCAAAGAAGTAACATGGAAATGAAATAGACTGTTTTAAATTATTACAAAGGAAATTGAATTCAAAAGTAGGACTGTTATGCTTCATTTATACAAGTTACTCACAATAGCATTGGTCTCCCTATTTATGAAACAATGTAAAAGCTTTGGAGGAAGTTCAGAGAAGGTCTACAAAACCAAGACATGGAATGAATAGGAATGTCTAAGAAAGGATGGACTGATTAGGCTTGTATCTGTTGGAGTTTAGAAGACTTAGATATCGGATTCTGAAGTCTTGAAAAGGTAGATGGTGAGAGGATGGAATAATCAAGAATTCAGGGTCACTGTTTAAAAATCAGGTGTTGCCCATTTAAAGCAAATATTAGGTGAAATTGTTTCCGAGGGTTGAGAGTCTTTGGAAAACTCTTCCTGAAAAGATGGTGGAAGTAGAGTCCTTGAATATTTTTAAGGCAAGGGTAGATAAATTTTTGATGAGCAGATGTCATAAGGGTTATTGGAGATGAGTGGGAATGTGGAGCTGAGATTAAAATCGGAATCATCTTGGTCTTATGAAATGGTGGGGCAGGGCTAAAGGACTACTTCTGTTCCTAATTCATATGTTCATTCTGGTTTTATGTTTGGGGAAGCCACAAGCTGATGGTTGTTAATTGTGCATTTGAAAACGAATATCATCATATATCTGGGCTATATTTTGTCATGTTAACTGTTTTCAGGTTCTACAGTAGTGTTCACAATATAACTAGTAACTGTATCTCTTTAATTGACAGCTGCAAGAACAAGCTGTATTTGGAGAAGCTTCCAAATACCAGTATCATTATACCATTCCACAACGAAGGCTGGTCCACGCTCCTTCGAACTGTGCACAGTGTCTTAAATCGTTCGCCACCAGAGCTTGTTGCAGAAATCATACTTGTTGATGACTTCAGTGAAAGAGGTAAAAAAGAAGCTGAGTTTCAACTTAAACCATTACTGTCTCACAATTGTCAAAAGAATTAAACTAATTAAATCTTAAGTCATTTTGACTTTTCAAATCTGCAGTGTCTCAACTATTCTCTATCCCACCTCTATTTAACTGGGATGTCTGAGTAAAAACAAGAAGGTAGATGACCAGTGCCTGCCAAAACTAGCTTCACAAATAAATACTACTGCCTGTTGTGTTTTATAAATAATGAGAAATGTGATTTGAATAAAATTTGAGAGTCGCTTTGGCTTCCCTGTTTTCATTTTTGGACTTGGTATAACGCAGTTGTTGTTTTCAGTCTCAGACAGCTAGCTGTAATCCTCCAATATGGAGCATAATATTCAAGTCCCATAGGTACCATTCAAGGACACCAAGGGTGTAATTCATCTTTGGATAGGTCTGATTATGAGAATTTATTTAATAGACTTTCTAATGAATCATAAATTTGGTTTGGATACCACAATTATTTTTAAAGATTCATACTCTGTATCTCATGGGTCCAGCTTTTTCCCTTGCTCAATCATGAGCTTGAGCATGTTTTGTTGCAATGTTCTCTTCCTTCAGAATTTAAAGATTTAATATAGATTTTATTTCCATTTCAGAAACAATTTAATTACATGAATGCTAAATTTATCTTTGATCCGGAACTGTAAAAATTGGATTTGTGAATTATGAGAGTTGGCATGAAAATTGATAACCTTTTACTGGTGCAATGTGGCCTCAGTAAGTAGGATACTGACCTGGCACTGCCATAACTTGACAAGATCACCACCAGCTTGAAGACAGGTGGAGAACAGCAGCAAAAGTTGGCCGAATCAGCAATGCTGACATCCCATGGGAGAACAATAAACACTTCTTTTCCCTATGTCCTCTACCACTGAGAATGGCAAAATCTGCAAAAATAATATACTACCTCCTAATTCTTGACTCAGTTGCACATTACCCGAACTTGATCTCACTTAAAATAACAACACATGGTTTAAAGCCATGCAATAGCAATGTAATGAGGCCTTTATGCTAATGGCTGTCCTAAGATTTTGTTATTGTAATATTCAATCTGATTTTTCCTTACAGTTTTCTCTAGTCACTATCAAATACTTTAGAACTATAAGAGGTTGTTTACTTCTCCAGTTCATAATAGAGAACTGAAAAAGGTTAGGGTGATGGTTAGGCCCCATTAATTGCCCCATAGTCTGCAGCAATAGTCTGGGTAGATGGGTTAGCCATGGTTACGTGAGTTGGGGGGTGTGGTGGGAATGTTGGGTCTTGGCAGGATGCTGTTTGGAGGGTTGGTGCAGACTGAATGGGCCAAATGGCCTCTCTGCACTGTAGGGATTCCATGAAAACATTCCCAACTTTCCATCTGTCTTCATGACTATAGTTTCTCAAACCTGGAATCATTCTTGTAAATCCCTTTTTCACTCTCTCTCCTTTGCACTGATATCCTTCCTGAAGTGTGATGCCCAGAATTGTACATAGTAGTCCGTTTGAGGTCTAACTAGTGCCTTATACAAGTTCTGCATCCTCCTTGTTCTTGTAATCTATGCCCCTCTTAATAATTATGAATGCTTTATTAGCTGCTCTCTCCAGCTTTAATGGTTTATGCATGTACACACCAAGGCGTCTTTACTTTTGCACACACCCTAGAGTAGTACCCTTTTACTTTACATTGATTCTCCATGTTCTTTCGACTAAACTATATCACCTCTCAATTCTCCACATTGAACTTCATCTGTCACCTACCCGTCCACTCCTCCAACCTGCCAATGTCCCACTTGAAATTCCAAACTGTTCTCCTCACATTTTATTGTGCTTCCAAGTTTTGTATTGTCTGCAAACTTTTCAATTTTCCCCTGCACACCAAAAATGTAGATCATTAACGTATATCAGCAAAGGAAGGGTCCCAACACCAACCCCAGAAAACTCCACTATAAATCTTCCTTGAGCTTAAAATATCCATAAACAGTCACTCTTTGCTTTACCTCAGCCTGTTTTGTATCCATATTGCTTCTGTCACTTTTATTCGCAAGTCTGTTGTGTGGCAGTGTATCAAACACCTTTCAGAAGTCCGTTAACAGCTCATCAAATGTCTCGGTTGGCTCTTCAAAACTCCAAGTTAGTTAAGCATGCTTTTCCTTTAAGAAAACCACGTTGACTTTCCTTAATACACATTTATCTGTGTGACTATTAATTCTATCCTGAATTATTGTTTCTAGAGGTTTTCCATCAACAAAGGTAACTGAGCTGATTCTTGCACCATTTTTGAACAAGAGCATAATACTTGCAATTTTTAGCAAAAACTAAAAATTATCATTAATGCCTGCAGAATTTTTACACTCGCATCTTTCAGGATCCTGGGATGCATCTCAAGTGCAGTCTTATCAACTTTAACTACAGACAGCTTATCCAATACCACCACCTTGTCAGTTTTGAACCCTTCTAGCGAGTGAAGTTCCTTCTCTGTCACCATGACCTGAGTAACATTTGTCTCCTTAATAAATAAAGACAGGTGCAAAATATTGATTTCTCCCCCCACCCCCTGCCTCCAAGCTATAAGAGTCCCAACTCCACACAGCCTGCTTCTATCTCCTTTCCAAAATCCACAATCAGGACTATCCAGGCAGACTGCTCCACAGAACTCATCTCTTCTTACCTCCAGCTGCCTCCCCTTTTCCATGGACATGCAATCTCTTTACACATACATCCACCATCAGGATAGTCTCAGAGCTCTCTGCTTCTTCCTGGGGAAAAAAAAGGGCCTGAATCATCCTGATCAACCACAACCCTCTTCCGCTTGGCTGAGCTTGTCCTTGCTCTGAACAAATTCTCTTTTAGCTCCTCTTTCTTCAGGTTAAAGGGATGGCCATGGGTACCTGCATGGGCCCCAGTTATGCCTGTCTCTTTGTGGGGTATGTGGAACATTTCTTGTTCTAGTCCTACTCTGGCCCCCACCCGCAACTCCTTTTCTGGTATATTTGTATATCAGTGCTGCTTCCTTTTCTCATTGGAAATTGGAAAAGTTTTATCATTTTTGCTTCCAATTTCCACCCCACTGTCACTTCCACCCCTGGTCCATCTCTGACTCCTCCCTTCTCTTACTTGATATCTCTGTTTCCATTTCTGGGTAAAGTCAGAAGTCACATGACACCAGGTTATAGTCCAACAGGTTTAATTGAAACCACAAGCTCTTGGAGCGCTGCATCTTTGTCAGGTGAAGTGACCATGTCACAGAACACCTACATTTTGTCTGCAGAAAAGACCCTGAACTTCCAGTTGTCTGCACTGGCCAACATCCCTGACTCAGGCTTGCTGTAGTGTTCCAGCGAGCTGGAAGAACAGCACCTCATTTTCCACTTGAAATCTATACAGCTTTCTGGACTCAATATCGAGTTCAACAATTTTAGAGCTTAAGGTGGCTTCTCCCCCGTCCTTGCCCCAAGCTCCACGCACCAGGTCTTGTTATCACACAGTCTGCCATTACACTCGACCCATTGTTAGCCACTAATAGTCCCCATTAGCAGCTATTCATTCTCCAAGGATGATCCATTATCCACTCCTTTGTCCAACTGTTCTCTATCTCTACCTGTCATCATTTACTCTTTAACCCCTCCCTCTACCCTAACTTCTGCATAAAAAACAATCTTTTCCTAGCTACAGAGATAGTAGGAACTGCAGATGCTGGAGAATCCGAGACAACAAGGTGCAGGGCTGGATGAACACAGCAGGCCAAGCAGCATCATAGGAGCAGAAAGGCTGACGTTTCGGGCCTAGACTCTTTAACCCACTGCGAAGCCTCTTCTAAGGATGCCCAGCCTGAAGAAGTTACCCTCTGGCATTTCTGATGAAGGGTCTAGGCCCGAAACGTCAGCCTTTCTGCTCCTATGATGCTGCTTGGCCTGCTGTGTTCATCCAGCTCTGCACCTTGTTGTCTCTTTTCCTAGCTACCATCAGTTTTGAAGCAGGGTCACTGGACCCAAAATGTCAACTCTGATTTCTCTCCACAGATGCTGCCAGACCTGTTGAGATTTTCCAGCATTTTTTTTTTTTGTTGCCAAGTACTTTTTTTTTTTTTCCTGATCAACCCGTTCAGAGATGTTACTACATACACTGGGAGCAGGTAACTCTTGAATCCAGGTCTCATACCTCAAATTTAGGGATACTACCACTGTGTCACAAGAGACCCTAAAGATGCAAGGTATTCAGTTAATACCTCAACCATGTCCGCTACTTCCATGTGTAAATCACTCCTTTTTCTTCATCTCTAATTGGCACAACACCTCCTTCCAAGGAGACTGCCTAAAGACATCAAAAACTATACAATTAAATACAATCAAACAAACCAACAGGTTGAGTTATGTATAAGTGTGTACAGAATGTAGGAATTAGGAGCAGAAGTATGCCATTCAGCCTGTTGGACTTGCTTCATCATTCAATGTGATCATAGATGCGCTATTTTTGTTTCAAATTCCATACTCCTGTCCAGCCCCAATAACATTAGATTTTTATTAGGCAAGGGAACACCATCTTCTGAGGCAAAAAAAACCTCAAGAAACTTTTTCCTCATTTGTGTTAAAAGGATGACCCCTCTTTTTAATACAGTTCCCCTGGTTCTGCACTCATTCACAAGAGGAAATATCCTTTCTTCTTGTTCAACTTGTTAAGACCATTCTTGATCTTTGAAAAATGCAATCAATTCATCCTTTATTCTTCTGAAATCCAGTGGGAACAAGTCCAGGCTGTCCAATGTTTCCTCATAAAACAACCCACTCATACTAAGCAGCAAACTAGTAAATCTCCTCTGAACCTCAACCAATACATTTATGTTCAGCATTTACATCCATCCTTAAATAAAGAGACCAAAACTGCACACAGTATTCAAGACTTGGTCTCACCAATGTCCTGTATAACTGAAGCAAAACATCCTTGCCTTTTTATAAAAGCAAAATATTGTAGAAGCTGGAAATCTGAAATAT